AAAGAAAGAAAGAAAGAAAGAAAGAAAGAAAGAAAGAAAGAAAGAAAAGGGAGTGGGGAGGGGAAGGAGAGTAAAAAGGAAAGAGAAGGAAAAAAGACAACAAGAGATCTCACAGGGACCACAGTCCTGATCCCTAACCTGACTAACTCCTTCTAGTTACAGTAGCTAGCATTTCCCTAGTTACAAGCAGAGTTGACTGCCAAGAAAAAGGGTCTCTAAAGCAGCTCAGTATCCAAGTGGCTTCCCTAGTAAGGAGTACAGGGACTATCTCTGGCATGAACTCAGTGGCTAGCTCTTTGACCTCCCCACCCCCTGTGGGAGTTGCAGCCTAGCTAGACCACAGGAGGACATTGCAGCCAGTCCTGGTGAGACCTGATAAGCTAGGGTCAGATAGAAGGGGACGAGGACCTCCCCTATCAGTGGACTTAGAGAGGGGCAGGGAGGAGATGAGAGAGGGAGGGTATGATTGGGAGGGAATGAGGGAGGAAGCTACAGCTGGGATACAAAGTAAAAAAACTGTAATTAATATAAAAATAAAAATTTAATTTAAAAAGAAAGCTGTGATCTTCAGGCTAGGGACATGGCTTGCAGAAGAAAAGACACTGGCTGTCTTACAGGGGACCCAGGTTTGACTAGCAAGTACCTACATGGTGGGTAGCTGCTCTGGGTGATATGATGATGCCCTCTTCTAGCCTCCCACAGCAATGCATGCAGATGATACACAGACACCCACAGACATAAAACAAAAACAAATCTTGCTGGGTGATGGTGGCACACACCTGTAGTCCCAGCACTCAGGAAGACAGAGGCAGACGGATCTCTTTGAGTTCGAGGCTAACCAGGGATACAACAGAGAAACCCTGTCTCAAAAAAAAAAAAAAAAAAAAAGAAAGAAAGAAAGAAAGAAACTTAAAATTTGATCATTAAAAATATTTAAATCCTAATTAAACTCTATCCAGAACTAAAATACACTTACAGACAGAAACTAAGGTATGAGATTAGTAACAACTCAAAGATTAAAAGTAATAGACTTGGTCAAGAGTAGTACTAAATAAAACAGCTCAAGAGAACCATATACAAATCCACAAAGGACACACTAGATGCAAATGTTAACAAGATCAATGTTTAGTAAGGTTCAATATAACTAGGTATGCAACCATGCAAGGATGGACATACGGAATAAGATATTAGAACTGAAGTCAACAGTAAGAATCGTGGCAGACTAGGTTTTTTTGTTAATTTTCCAAAACGGACTGATAAAAAGCCCAAAGTAGGTGCTGGAAAGATGACAATGGTTAAGAGCACTGGATGCCCTTCTAGAGGATCCAAGTCTGGCTCCCAGTATTCACATGGTGGCTCACAACCATCTCTAACTCCAGTTCCAGATGAGTCGACACCCTCCTCTTCTTGCTCCCACAAGCACTGCACACCAATGGCACACAGATATACAACAAGCAAAACACCCATAGACATATACAAAATCTCAAAATAAAACCAAAACTGGACCCTGAGTGACAGGATACTGAGAAAGAATAAGAAATATTCAAGCCAGATAGAGAATCTGCACAAAGATTTAGAAAGAACTGAAAAATGAAGGTTGGGTGTATGGGGAGGGGGGGGGAGGCAAATTAAACCTAACAAAAGGAAAGTCTAGATAACAAGAAAACTGAATTCATTCAGATTCCACAAGAAAGATGGGAGAGACAAAGAGAGGGAGAGGGAAAGGGGGAAAGGAAGAAAAATCTACAAAGACACAGAAATCCAGAGTCTAGATAGAAGGAATGTAACAAAATCTGGAAAGAGAAACTACTCCAAACTAATAAATATCTTTATTTTGCTCAAAAGCTGAGGTATGAGATATTAAAAATTACTTTTAGTACACATAGGTTTTCTACTCTTCTGATAGACTTGTGTTAGAGGCCTTTCAGCATCCCTAGGAGCAGTTATGGAAAACAGAAAGCTGAAGGCAGGAGCAAGGAAGCACTCAAGTAAACGCCAGTCAGCTGGCCTTCAGTCAGTGATGGAGCCTCCTGCCAAACCAAAACCCCAAAAGCTGCTCAGTACTATGCAAGGCCTCCCTCCCTGCCCTTTAACTTTGGAAGTTAAATGTGTTAACATTTACAAAGCATTTAAATAATGTTTGGTACATGGGGACTATGTTTATTGAAGTAATTAAGACACAGTGTTTAGGGAACTTTTAAGGAGGCATTTGCAAACGAATCTATATGTTATCTAGTAGATCATGGAACAAATAATTCTGACCTTTACTTTCCTCTGCAGGGCATTATAATGTCCAGCATCTAATAATAAAGAAGTCATGAGGATACAAAATTGCATTATAAAAATGCTGTAGACATAGCAGATGCTCTATAATTTTATTTGGGGAGGGACAGGAAAAGTAAAGAGATGCCAGAATAAACAGTAATAGGCAGTTTGCTAGACTAAGAGAAAGGAAAAATAGGTAGGATCAACCAATTGGCTTAAAAAAATCCAAATACTTTTGAGAGTTTACAATTCCTAATATAAGTAGAGGGATCTTAAAAGTAAGAACTAAGAAAGAAGTGTTAGTATAAGATCAACTTTCTAATTATGATTGTTAAAACATGTTATGACAATCATTACAGATCTGGAGAAACGGACATCACAAACATGAATTAAATATCTCTTGGATTACAGTTTGAGTTAGAAGTCACGTCTAAAAACACCTAAGTAAAATTTAGTGACAACTAAAAATGGTTACACTACAAACATGTAAATAATGTAAAGGCAACATGAACATAACAACCTTCGATATTATAAGCATGAAACCTGAAGTCCAAAATATCATGTGCTCTCATTCTGGGTAATTAAAAAAAAATTGGGTGCTTTGGTTGTTACTCTAGTACCTGCCTTGCTTCTCCACTTCAGACCAGTTGGGGGGGAGGGTGGAAATGGTGAGGAGGGCAGTAACAGGAAGCAAGAAAGGGACTAAGCAAGAGGTACTCTGACACCTCCTAAGGACACCAGAGAGATGAGGACTGCTGGTGTCCAAGCAGTCTTATCCTTACTTTCACAGAATTACACACAACCAGAAACAGTGACTATTTATAATCACCTCTAGAGATCTTTCAATATTTTTCCCTAGTTAGGCAAAGCACCAACACCCTCCCACTCACAATTTCTTTTGTGATCAACCTCAAATTAACACAATGACAAAATTTTCCTTCCCTTAATAAACAGATAACTATCATAACAGAAAACTACTATATAAGCATATAAGGAAACACAGAAATATTAATAAAAATAGCAATAAATAGTAATAAAATTATACTGAATTAATAAAGAAATGTTAATAAGAATATAAATGTGCCTGAGAGCTGAAGATATGTTTACTTTACAGGAGAAAATCCCTTTCCCTACATTTTTAAGGGGGCTTAGGGTTTAGGACAAGGCCACTGCTCTGTGGCACTAGATGACATCTCACTTGAGAAAGTTTGTCTTAACCCTTTCTTTTTAAATTAAGGGTGTGGGGAGGCACTCACAGGGAGCATGTCTGTGTGAGGAGGCCAGAAAAGGGCGGTCAGTGCCCAGCTCTATTACTGCCCTAAGGTTCTCTCACTGAACCGGAGACTAGGCTGGCAGGCAGCAATCCCAGGAGATCTGTCTGCCCCATGACCCCATTGAGCTGGGCTGTAGGTGCAAGCAGCCATGTCAAGCTTTAATGGTGCACTCTGGAGACTTGAACTATGGTCCTCGAGCTGCTGCAGCAGGAGCTTCGAAGCTGTCTCCCCAGCAACCCCAGGAAGAGCTTTCATTCTTTTCATTGGCATTTTCGTGCTATAACCAACAATACCCTACCTTGGGTTCAGAATCACTGATTTGTGCTTTGAATTCTCCCAATCAATTAGGAAAGCTATTTGATGGGGGGTGTGGAGGGTTATTTTTAAAAGAACAGTCAGTTCATCCTTTCCCACACCTACCTTCTCACCACTTGAGTAGAAGAAATACCGCAATCGAACTATGTTACAGTGGTCTAGCTTTCTCATGATCTGGAGCTCCCGGTTCTGCAAAGAAAGCATATAAAATAAAGATTTAAGGACAGCTATTCAAGACCAAGGTACTTCTACAATAAGAGTAAGCAAAGAAACAGCTCTGAACACACTGTTAAAATGTATGGCAAGCCAGTTACATGGTGGCACACAGTTGTAACCTTAGCACTGCTGATGTGGAAGCAGGAAGATCACCTGTTCAAGCCAATCTGGGCTACTCTACCTACAAAATAAAAAGGAAGGAAAGTGAGAGAGACCATTACCAGCCAATGACTCATCTGCCATGACTCATCAGTACAATAAATATGGAAATTAAGGTCCTGGTTTCACTCCAATATCACATGAATATAGATTTCCCTAAATGATCCTGTTTGTGTAAGCACCAGTTTGTGTAAGCACCAGTCAAGCCAAGGTTCAGTAAAGGCCCGCGTCTCACGTGTGCTTGAACAGACAGCTACTGCGGTTCTCACGCTCTAAGGTGCTCTTCACTGATGAGTAATGACAAACCAGCGCCACAGGGAGCATCACTACTCTACGAATGCAGCATATTTATTTTGTGTCACACAGAACAGAATGGAGACCGAAATAAACAACAACACTAAGAAAGGTCCTAATCTTCAGAAACCTAAGCGTCTATGGTAAAAGAAAGAAAAACTACTGTCATTTAGGGACAGGCTCATGCTCTACCACTGAGCTATATTTACATCCAAAGGGAATTTTAAAATACTGAAATTTAGGGCTGGAGAGATGGCTTAGAGGTTAAGAGCACTGTCTGCAATTCCAGAGGTCCTGAGTTCAATTCCCAGCAACCACTTGGTGGCTCATAACCATCTATAATGAGATCTGAGGTTCTCTTCTGGCCTGAAGGTAGAACACTGTATACATAATAAAAATACAGAAATTTAATAAGCATAAAGTGACTCAGTTGGTGAGTACTTGTTATATAAACATAAGACCTGGTTTCCAACATCCAGCATAGAAAATGCCCAGTGGGGCCATGCATGCCTGTAATCTCTGAGTTCATGGGCAGGGGCAGGCAGGCCCTAGGAGCTCACGGGCCAGTCAACCTAACCTCATTACAGGTTAATGAGAGACACAGCCTATCTAACTGAAAAAGAGGAGAATGAGAAAGGAAGATTCTCTTCAGTTACCCCCATACACAGTGTTTAAGTCCTCTTTATTAGGATATTGTTTTTGATCAAAGGTAAAGTTATCAGTCACTAGTGCTATCAATTTAGCAGCTCTCTGTTACTTTCAGTCTAGAAAAATTCACTAGTTATAGAAAGTAGACATTCTAGAGCAGAGTGTGGGTAAAAGCTGCACAGACTTGAATGAAATGAACATGTGAATTGTTCTGTGATGGCTGCTACTGACCATCAACTTGCCAGTATCTAAAATCACATAGGGGGTTAGCCTCTGGATACACCTGTGATGAAGGACTGTGCTGAGGCTGACAGAGGCGACAAGACCCACCTTAAAAGTGGGTGGCAACCACTCCTTGGGCTTGTATCCTAGACTGAACTAAAGGGCAAAAGCTAACTAAACACCAACTTTACCATTTTCTGATTCCAGGCTGTAGATGAATCATGGCCAGGCCCCCTTCCACGAGGACTTGCCAGCCATGATGGACTGTTAAGCTTAAAGAATACACTCAAAACAAAAAACAAAACAAAATTTCCCCCTTAAGTTGTTCCTGCAGAGTATTCTATTACAGGAACAGGAAATGTAACTGGACATATTTGTTAACTGTGCACAAAGAACACTGCAGTTAAATATAAAAACCTAGGGCACAGGTTTGTAATGTTCCAGAAACCGCTGGAAAGATAAGGTGGTTGAGTCATTAACAGTTGAGGGAAAGACAGAAGATAAGTTCAGAGAAAGGGGTAGTCAAGGGTGAAAGAAATAATGCCTCATCCACCATGAAGTGAAGAAACTCAAGTTCACTTCAAATATGAATAGAAGTCAATGGAGAGTTTGACAGCTGAAGTTGTGAACTCCAAAAGAGTATTCTAAAACTTGAACACAATAAGTTTGAATAACAAGGGGGCAGGAGGAATCATGCAATAGAAAGGAATGAATAATGGAATTGTAAATGAAGAAAAGAAAAGAATGTTATCTTAGAGCCATAAAGAGCTTTTTTAAAAACAAGCTAAGAGATTAAGATAAAAATGAAAAACTGACAATATGGCCAACGTAAGATGTAGATTTCAGAACAACAATGATGACACCGACTAATAAGACTGAATTAAAAGTTGGCGTAGGAAGAGCAGGGAACAATGCTACAGAGAATGATGAGGTCAGGAAACCCACTCTCCCCTGACAGCTGTACAATACATGCCTAGGAGATCCAATGTGACCTCAGGCAAAGTAACAACAACCAGAGAACTGTCTGAATTTCAATATATCTTCCAACTTAAACATACACTAAGTACCAAAACATAAGGAACCCTTGTAACTGCAAAGTGTTAAACATAATGTCTTATAACATAACTGATTAACTGAGCCAAGAAATTAATTCTAACAGAATTAAAAGGCTAATTTCTATTTAAAATAAAAACAAACTCTATAGGCTATAATCAGGTAAGAGATTAATAAAATACAATATTCTAAAAAAAAAAAATCACATTCATAAGGTTTAAAAAAAAGCCAACTTGAGGGTGCAGAGATGGCACAGTGATTAGGATCCTGATGCACTTGCACAGGACCCAGGTTTGGTTCCCAGTACCCATATGGTTACTGCCAAGAGTCTGTAGCTCCAGTTCCATGGGATCCAGTGCCCCTTTCTTGCCTCCATGGGCACCAAATGTGTCCATACTAATGCACATAAAACACTCATATAGAGAAAATAAAAATAAATGAATCTTTACAAAAAAAAATCAGACTCTAGAATTGCTACTATATAAAAAACACTCCATTTAAAACATTGCAAAGATATGTAGACAACAGAAAAGCTGACATTCACATTAAAAAACAACAGGCATTGATAGACAAAGCTAGTGCATTCAGCAATGAATATAAAGCAGCGAATATAATCATAATATACAAATGTATTGATTTCCTTTAATTTCATCAAAATATAAAATATAAGCCATAGAACATACATACATTTCATCAAACAATAACAGTACAAAGAAGGAAAAATTAGCTATATTTGAGCTATATTTTCCTGGAGCCAAACAAAGCAGCTTTAACCTAAAATAGACTGTCACAAGTTGAGATGCCAAGTGTAATCCCAGAACAACCACCAAAGAGTCACCTAAGATGTATGTCTCCAGGCATGTCTAGGAGGACTCAGAGTTGCTTAACAGGTGGGGAGGCCCTGAATGCTGACAGCACCATTGTGGGCTAGCATCCTAGACTGTGTAACATATACAAAGTTAGGAAGGAAGCACCAACGTTCATCTCTTTCTGCTTCCTGACTGTGGGCCAATGTGCATAGCTGCCACCATACCTAAAAACAGCTCTTGTCACTGTATTTTCCCACAGTGACACACTACACTCTCAAACGATAAGCAAAAGTAAACCCTTTCTCTCCTTCGTTTTTTTTTTTCCCCCCAAGATATTTAATCATAGCAATGAAAAAGCCAGTACAGTGTACTAAAAAGTTTGTTGGGATTGGGCTCATCGGTTCTCTGTTACGGAAGGAGAAAGCATTGTCACGAGGCCCCAGATGTATGAAGGGACAATGGACAGGGAATGGTGGCTGAAGGAAGGGCATCACTCTCTTCAATCACATGCAACACGAAAACAAGAGTGGGACTCCTAGGAAAGAAGGAGGACTTCTAGGAAGGGATGGGATGAGATGTATTACTGGGGTAGGGGAGTAAGATTACTAGTATTACATATGTGTATGAGACTCTCAAAGTAAGGAAAAGGTGTTTGTTAAAGACAAAGGAGTCAGTATGTTCTAGTAAGGAGGGACAAAACCAACAAGAGAAAGAAATTAAGCAAAATGGCATCACTTGTTCCTCATATGCAACTACATAAATTATTAATGAACTAAGTACACAATTAAAAGGCAGAGATGGCCAAACTGGACTTTTGTTTTGTTTTTGAGACAGGGTTTCTCTGTGTGGCCATGGCTGTCCTGAAACTAGCTCTGTAGACCAGGGATTAAAAGTATGCAACACTACTACCTGGCTCAAACTGGAGGCTGGTTGTGTTTTTGTTGTTGTTGTTGTTGTTGTTGTTTTAAAGCTCTAAATATATTTCTCTCTAAAGGAGATACAATTTAGACTGAAACACAAAGATCATTACAAAGACAAACTATAACATAAGGGACACTGGAGTTTCAATATTATGTCCTGCCAGTGACAACTTGCTTTGCAATAAGGCTTCTCCTTATTCATATGCCCAACCAGACATTAAAATTTGTGCTCTACACTGGACCTAAGTTTTGCTTCCTATTCCAGAGTGTCAATACTATCTGCTCACACTGTAAACCACCGGTGACAGTATTACAAGAATGTCTTGACCCTTTTTCCTACCTACATACTTAACTAATTCCCATTTCCCTCACCATCTCCAGGCCATTTCCAGCTGTTCCCCCACACATTCAACTCTTCTTATAGCATGTAAAAATATTTTGAAGTGTATTGTGTCTTTCCATGTATTACTACAACTACAGTCAATGCTGTTATATAAAAGAAAGTACGCCAAAACTTGCAGAACTCAGGTATGACATCGCCACGACAAGAGACAACAACATATACCCTGCCTAAGCAACTTACTATAAATTCCTTAAGAGTAGAAATTGAACTTACTATCTTTGCCCGTCATCTAGCACTGGGAATTGGGAGGGAAGGCAAATAAAATCTTACATATAAAACAAAGACTTATAACTGTAATAAGCATGTAAAAAAAAGCTAACTGCTCAAGACATACTAAATACCATACTAATAAGGAAACCTGAAGAATATATTTCAAGCAGAAATTGCTTTTCTTCTTTTTAATAAAAAACTATTCAAATACATATGTCTCTAAAAGAACTGTTATGGTTTAGATATACATTCCCT